TTAACTAAGACAGGAGACTCCAAGGAATAATATTTAGTGGAAGTAAATGATAAATCTGCCCTAAAGTTTTGCTCAATAATTTATAAAATCATCAATTACATTATTGTAAAGCTTGGCCATTTGTTTTTTTCTACCCCATTTTCTTCTCTATGTTCTCTTTTCTAATATCTTTCTGCCTCAACCATGTTTTCATTACCTACTTTGAGTGCTTTTTTTCATCACTTGCTCTCATGCCTTTTGTTTCTTGCTTCTCTCAGTTGTTCAGATCATTGCCTCCTAGCTAGCCACCCCATACATTCAACCCACTCTGGAAATTAACTATTTTATTTTAAAATACTAAAATTCCCCTGAATTCATTTTCTCCTTTCCATTTGCTTTATCACTTTATTTCATCCAGGAATGGAAGTTCAGACCTTCATTCACTCTGTTCCTTATAACAAGTTTCTTACTAAACTCGTGTTTATAATTCTCCCAAATCCCCTGACAATATATCCGTTTTCACATTTTTCTCTGACTTTTCTAGCAAATCTAATCTTGTCCTTCCCCTACTCAAAATTTATTTGTTCTCAGGATTGACCAGATAACATCCGAACTCCCTTACAAGGCACAAACAATCCCGACCTGCCCATCTAACTTCATTTTTACCTTATCTTCCAATTCCCCTTTGTGTGATGGACTGATGTTGGCGCTGTGATTTAAACAGCTCCTAACAGACATGCTTACGGGTTATAGAACACATCATACTAAGTCGTGCCTCTGTGTCCTTCTGTCTATCACTCCCCTATTCCCTCTTCTGCTTTTTCTCCATCCATACGTAAAATTTCTAGTCATTCTTTAACACTGTTCAAATGTTATCTGTGCTGTGAGGGTTTCCCAGTCTCTTTTAGGCAGACTTGAGAGTCCTCTGCTCTGTCACATACTGTACATCCCTCCAATGTTTGCAAGAATATTGTTATTAGTATTTGGAGTCAGGACTTGGGGTTTTCTATTTCCAATACCTAACACAGATTCCAGTACATAGTAGCTTAATCATCTTTGTTAAAGCTACCTACACTATTATTTAACCTACCTACCAAAATGATACAGTATAGCTGTTTTTTTCTGCCTGCATATCAGTTTCTCAAACTATGTTTTTTGGAACACCAGCACCTCTATAGGAGTTGTATACTATAAATAGAGCTACGCTTTAGATAGTTATGTAAAATGTAAGTTTGTTTTCATTGTAGGTTTAAGAGAAAAGTCCAAATCTTTTCTCAAACAATTTTTAAAATTTCATTTGTTTGTATTGATACATAATAGATGTACATATTTTGGGGGTACATGTGACAACACATTCATGTAATTTGTAAATATAAGATCAGTATAATTGGGATATCCATTACTTTAAATATTGGCCTTTTCTTTCTGCTAGAAACATTTGAATTATTCTCTTCTAGCTATTTTGAAATTCACAACAGATTATTGTAAACTGTAATCACCCTATTGATCTATCAAACACTAGGTCTTATTTCATCTATTAAATTGTATATTCCTTTTGTTCTTAATTCTCAACTGCAAAGTTCATTTAAATAATAATTCTCAAGTACAAAGTTCATTTAGAAAATCACCTAACCATCTAAAAGTGAGAAATTTATGTTTGTTTTACCATGACCTGGATGAGGAGCAACAACAAGAATACAAAGCATGTGTATATACTGCTGACATGACAAAATAATGAGCTCCAAATTTACATATTTCCGATCCATCTCTGCTAACCTGGATTATTGCCAATGAAAAAATAAATTTTGCTCATTTGCCTTGTTTTTATTTACATTAATTGATGGACTGATGTTGGTTCTGTGATTTAAACAGTTCAACTTAGAAAAAAATAGCTACTAGAAGGGAAGGTCTTGGGAAATAGTCACTGAAAAATAAGTTGAGGTCCAATCAGGAATATAGAAACTATACTATATAATCAAGGGAATATGCGAAAATGTTGCACAGGGATGGTAGGGGTAGTTCTCCAGATCAAAAAGGGGAATACTGTGGTGACCCAGAGATATAAACTGTGGGAAGCTGTTACCACCTTTAGAGCTAGGAGGACAAGGGGAAAAGGTTGTATTATTGGAATTCAGAAGTTTAAAAGAGGTATCCTCCTTAGCTGGGGCTTGGACCTCTGACAAGTAGAAACAGCCGAGCTGGGGCTGGTACTTTTGAGGACTCAAAAGGACTTTGGGATTTAGAGTATAAAAGAAGTGGGAGGCTGGAATCAACTGTTAAAGACAGTGTGACAGGTTATTACTGCTGAGGTGACGCTGACAGCAAGAAGCACGTGGAAAGGAACAAGTCCCTTTTTGTCCTACTCCAGGGGTCCACGTTTTCTCCAGTGACCTCTATTGACAGAAGCTGCCAGGAAGCCAGTTGGTAAAGGTGATACATAGTTTGCATACAGTCCTAGCACCAGCCTTACAAAACCAGGGCAGAACTATGAATATGTAGTGGAGAGATAATAGTTTAATAAACAGCACCAATAACAATTATAATAAGAGTGTTAAGCAATGACCAGAGTAACCACCTTTTAGCTTAAAAAAAAAAAAATCATGATCTATCCTACGTTCAAGACCTTAAAGAAGTATAAACCTCTAATGAATGACACATGTACTGAAGTAGGCTTTTTCACAATAATCATTTAATCATCCAATTTGGAACCTATATGGCCGACATTGTTCTAGGTACTTGGGATTTTTGTTTGTTTTCTTGAGGGGAGAGTAGGGGGACAGGGTCTTTCTCCAGCTGTCTAGAGTACAGGGATGTGATCTTGGCTCACTGCCACCTCAGCCTCTCAGCCTCTGGAGTAGCTGGGACTATAGAGGCATGCCACCACACCAGGCTAATTTTTTTTTTTTTGTATTTTTAGTAGAGAGCAGGTTTTGCTATTGATATGGTTTGGCTGTGTCCCCACCCAAATTTCATGTTGAATTATAGCTCCCATGATTCCCATGTGTTGTGGGAGAGACCCAGTGGTAAGTAATTGAATCATGGGGGCAGGTCTTTCCCTTGCTGTTCTCATGATAGTGATAAGCCTCATGAGATCTGATGGTTTTATAAAGGGAATTTCCCCTGGACATGCTCTCTTGCCTGCCACCATGTAAAATGTGACTTTGCTCCTCCTTGCCTTCTGCATGATTGTGAGGCCTTCTCAGCCATTTGGAACTGTGAGTCAATTAAACCTCTTTCCTTTATAAATTACCCAATCTTGGGTTTGTCTTTATTAGCAGCATGAGAACAGACTAATACAGCCTTGTTGCCCAGGCTGGTCTCAAACTCCTGGACTCAGGCAATCTGCCAGCCTCAGCCTCTCAGAGTACTGGGATTATAGGCAGGAGGTACGGTGCCTGGCCTACTTGAGTTTTAGCAGTGAAAATATAGATACTTGCTTGCCCTTGTGGAACTTTCCTTCTAGTGAGAGGGATCAGATAATAAATAGAGACATGTCAGATGGTAAGGGAATGGAGAAAATAAAGCAAGTTAAGGGCATAGGGATTAGAGTGGTGGTGTTGGAGAGCCTCAATGATAAAGTTAAATTTTAGCAAAGACCCAAAGGAAATAGGAGAAAGAAAGGCATATGAGTACATAGGGAAGATCTCTTCAGTAAGAAGGAATTTCATTTAATAAGAATGAGGTTGGTGAACATTTTGCAAGTGGATGGGCTTTTCTGTGGTTTTGCAGTTTATTTCTTTTTTTTTTTTTTGAATCTTGACATTTTATTTATGACAAAGATGTCTCCATAAAGAAGTGGGGAAAAGATGATTTTTCCAATAACAGTAATGGGTCAATTAGATATTCCTTTGTAAAAAAAAGTAAAACTTGGCCAGGCGCGGTGGCTCAAGCCTGTAATCCCAGCACTTTGGGAGGCTGAGGCGGGTGGATCACAAGGTCAACAGATCGAGAACATCCTGGTCAATATGGTGAAACCCTGTCTCTACTAAAAATACAAAAAATTAGCTGGGCATGGTGGCGCGTGCCTGTAATCCCAGCTACTCAGGAGGCTGAGGCAGGAGAATTGCCTGAACCCAGGAGGCGGAGGTTGCGGTGAGCCGAGATCGCGCCATTGCACTCCAGCCTGGGTAACAAGAGCGAAACTCCGTCTCAAAAAAAAAAGTAAAACTTGACTCCATCTCACAACACATAATTCTCTTTACAAAAATGTGATCCTGTTATGAGTAACATAAGGTTATTATCAAATATAGTACCAAGTTCAAATATTCCACAAAATATTGTTCACCTCTTCTACTATAGGAAAAGCTATGTTTCCTCACACAGCAGGTTGTAAAAAAAATTGCTGATGTTAAGGAGAATTAGCTGAAGTATATAATGTCTTACCTCTTCTATAAAATACTTCCTTTGTTTCAGAGTCCGCTATGAAATTCTAATCATAGTCTCAAACCTTTCACTTGGATTATGTGAGTCAATGTAAAATGCCTAGCACTATACATAATTACTTCTTTGTTAAGATGTCAACGTTTGTTTTTTAGTTAAGAGTTAATGAACCTTGATAACTGGCAAACAAGCTTTGAACTGAAAGTAGGATGGACACCATCAGTACTCTTAATCCAAAACAATAAAACCATTGTTGGCATTAGGATTATGTTGCTTTCTGTTCAGATAATTTTTTTCTGAAAAAATACATGCATACTTTGTTATTCAGTGGTGTCAGAAATATTAATGTTGGCTATAATTATGCATTCCTTAAACCGTTTATTATTCAAACAATAAATGTGAACTTATCTGTAACGGCATAGAACCCACTAACAATCTCATGTTAAAGGTTTATACAAAATTAACAGGATTTCTGCCCTTGAAAAAAATGAGTTGTATATGTAATGTAAAATCTCTTTCTGTAGCCAGTAAAAGTTTCCAACAGGAAAGCCTGGGGTGGGTATGTCTAAAATTCATTCATGTGAGGAGAATGTTATTTAAGATTGGATACTTTTACTATAGAAGGTAGAAATTTGAGTTACCTTAGTAAATTTATTCTTTTTAACTTAAAGAATAATCTTGAGAGGTCAGTGGTGTCCACTGGGAGGCAAGAACTCGGTTCTGGCAGGATACCACCGCATATGGCTGGTAGTATTAGCAGAGCACTTGAACTCTGTGCCTAGGTTCTTGCAGCTGTCAAGTAGAGATCATAGTAATTGCTACCTTCCGTGGGATGTGAGCTTGTGCTCTGACATCTTTAGTTGAAGATGCTGTATAAACACAAATTATTATTGTTAGAACATAATACATATAAAACACCAGCATGGTGCTCTTTTAATTCTTATATAAGACCTATAAATACTTCTCTTCCATGCTTTCTCTTCACTTTAGGTCAGAGAAGATCATAGCAGGCCACTATTCAATTTCTATAAATAGGGAGGAAATATATTTGTTAAAGTTCCATATTGTATTTTTGAGAAGAACTAAACCTGCTAATTCCTTATGGTTTCTGTAGCAATTGCCTAATGGACCCACCCAAGTTAAGCCTTTGGCATCTTTGAAAATGTTGGCTAAATTATTTTTCTTGGAGATGTGGAACGATCAGGGAAAACCTGGGGGAATGAAATTGGCTAGTGATATTAAAATTTTGGTTGTTCAACATTTAACTGAATCTCAGCAACGTGTTAAAGTGCTATCTAAACAGATAATTAGCTAGTGGCTGCGCAGTGGGCTGTCTAAATTTAGCAGTGAAATTAGGTTTAGGGAATGCGAATATAGGAAAAGAAATCTTCTCAAGGGAAAAGGTGGTGTCAGCACAGCGGAGGAATGTCACAATAGCTACATTTTGTCAATTATGATCCTCATCAGGGGATCTCCCGGAGCGATGCAGGACAAGGTTTATTCACAAGCACATCTTGAGATCTTGAGGATAGGTGATAGAAAGCCCTGGCTGCAGGACACAGGCTTACAGGGAACGACAGAGGCAGACCGGCGCAGGGAGGGAGGAAGAGGAAAGGGATGGAGGGAAAAGCTGGGAGACTGGATGGGAGGCAGAAGTTAAGAAAGAAAAGAAGAGGTGGGCAGGGTGCAGAAAGGCTTGTAGCCTTGGAGGTGAGTAAAGCCTTGTGATCCAGCGGGCGGAAGGTGGGAAGACCCCAGTGACCGAAAGCCGAGGACAGCGTGGTCTTGGCCGCGAGCACCCATCAGTTTAGCTTCGACAGGCTGATTTCTGGGCGGCTGATCCTTGCCCAGCTTTCCCGTTACTGGAACACACTTATGGCTATCTGGTGGCGATGACAGGACCTACATAAAATTAATGGTGACGGGCCTACGGGCCGGTGCCCTCCGCCTTCAATCCGCCCCTATGCCGGACCGTGCAAATTGTCCCCCCTCCTACGCCCCCCACAGAACCGAGGTGGCTCCAAGGTCAAATGCCGGTACTGTGCGAGGCGGGAGGATGGAGAGGGCAGGGCGGGCAGCCGCCTGGGGTGAGCGAGGGTCATGGTGGGCAAATGTTTAACACTTCCCGAGGCCGCGTCTCTGCGATCGGTTCAAAGGAAAACAGACACAACAACAACAAAAAAAAAAAAAAAAAAAAAAAGAAAAACTACACGTACGAACATGCAAACGAAACAAAAGCAAGGAAAAACAGCAACGCACTCGTCGGGGGAAATCCACGGCCTCCTGTTGCCAGTCGCCCGGCGGCCAGGGAGAAGCAAGAGCGAGCAAGCAGCCCCGAGACCCCGCTCCTCGCCCGGCCAGCGAAAAGAGCCGGAGACACGCCCGAGCCGAGGTGGGCTGGGAAGGAGGGAGGGAGTCGGAGAGCACAGCTGTCCCGGGCAGCCGGAAGGAGGAGAAGGTCTCTCCCTTCAGTCCCCCGCGCCCCCGCCAGGAGGAGGCTCACTAGTCCGGCAGGCTGCGTCCAGCTTCCTGCACAGGAACCATTAGCTTGGGCAACGGAAGAGCAGCCCCCTCCTGCCTTCCCCTCCCACCCCTCCCCGTCTCGGGTGCCTGCCAGAGGGAGAGCGCCGCCCGGGAGAGGCAAGCGCCTGGCGTGGTCGTCCCGCAGCCCTCGCCTCAGTCAGTGCTGGGGCCTCGGTGGACCCGAGAGGGGCGGAGTGGGCGAGACCATTGGAAAGGCAGGGAAGGGGGGAAACCAGGCAGGAACGAGGGGCGGGGCCGACTAAGCTATTCCAGATATTCCTGCCCCTTTTAAAGCTCTGCTTTGGGAGAAACCCCGGTATCAAAGTGGATGAAAAGAGTTGCTTTTTTTTTTTTTTTGAAACGGGAGGAGCGTGTGTAGGAGGGCGGGGTGGGAGGAGACAGGGCTCGCGCCCGGGGATCAGACGGGAGCTGAAGTTGTGCGGGGAGGGCGGGCGAGTCGGGAGCCCGTTCTGAGGGTCGGCTACTTTCCCCCCTCCCGCGTGGGGCGGGGTGGTGCGTTCCGAGTTCCCAGGAGTTCGAGGCGGGCTGTTGCCGGGGGGAGGGGAGTGGCGGCGGCGGCGGGCGGCTCCCGCCTCAGCTTCGGCAGTGGCGTCGGCGACGGCGGTGTCGAGGCAGCACGCAGCGCTCGGCTGAGTGTGAGCCGGCAGCGACGGCGCTAGAGCGGGGAGCTGGGGACGCGCGCGCCGGACCTTCCACAGCCGCCGCCCAGAGCCCGAGGCGCCGGGGCCAGGGGAGCGGGGGGACGGGCGGGCGAGCGGGCCGGGGGGAGGGTGGGGGATGGCGCGGACCCCGCGGCCGGCCTTGCTGTGTCCCGGAGGCGGCAGAACACAACTTTCCCCCGCGTCCCTCCTCGGAGCCGGGCTCCTGCCGCAGCCCCCGACGCCGCCTCCGCTGCTGCTGCTGCTCTTCCCGCTGCTGCTCTTCTCCCGGCTCTGTGGTAGGTGAATCTCGGCGGCCGGCGTGGGCTGAGGCTGGGGGCGCCGCGGCCGGCTCTGCCCGGCGGCTCTCCGGGGCGGCGACGCGGCCGTGTTTGGCGGTTGGCTGCGCGAGCGAGTGCGGAGGACTTTGGCTGGAAACTTTTCGCCGCGCCCGGGGCGAGGCCCTGGAAGGGCCGGGCCGGCGAGTGCTGCGCCGGCGGCCGGCTCCCCTCCCCCGCGGCCTCGCGGGTCGCGGCTCGGGGGGCCGAGGGTGGGCGGCGGTGCCGAGTGCGCGGAGTTCCGCGTTTGCTCCGGGGACCGTTACTTCCCCGCTCGGGGCCGGGAAGCGGAGAGCGCAGGCTCGTGGGTTAAGGGGCCGGGATGCGTGGCGGCTGCTTTGATCTTCCCGGCGAAACTTGAGCTGTGAGCCCAGAAACCCCGGGACCGGAGGCCGGCGGAGTGAAGCCTCCGGGTCCGCGTCTCCAGGCCTCCCACCCCGGAGAAGGCACCGCCGCAGCCCACCCAGCCGCTGCGGCCCCTGCAGCCAGTTTGCCTCCGTCTGGCGGTCCCCGCCTCTGCCCTGGCAGCCTCTGGATCTCTAGATCGAACCTGGCCCCTGCCTTCCAGCTTGCGGGACGTCTCTCACACTATCCGTCTTATTTCCCCCCCCCGCCCCCGCCCCCAGGAACAAGGTTTACGTGTTAAATACCTGATTTTATGCACTGTGCCCGGCTGTTCTAAGCAAGAGAGTCACACGCCAGTTTTCCATCTCTTTCCTCGTGTTAGCTTGCTGTGTTCCTGTCGTGTTCGGGAGCTAGTCTCTGCGAGTTCCGTTCCCAGGTATGGCAGACTAGAAGCCTACTTATTCAGGTTCCTGCTAAAAAGAAAGTCTGCCTTTCATGCGAGAGAAATGGACGTAAGTGATAATGAAAGGCGGTGATTTGGGAAAATACGGACAACCGTCTTTGGCGGGAGGAACAGTGTTAAAACACTGCGAGACGTTATTTATTTGAGGGCTCTTAACGTGGTAAGAAAAGTGGAGGGGCAGAACTTAAGCTTGCTCAAAGATTGGGTCTCAGTATTTCGTGAAACCTTAAACTGAAGTGTTACCAGCATTAAAAGGAGAGGTGTGTGCAGATTTCTTGGATAGTGTGATTTAAAAGAAGGGGGAATCCTATTACACGGTAGGTGAGTCAGGGTAGTTGCTTTTGAGGGTACCAAACCTTGCATGATGGGGTTGAGTGCTGCTTCTGGGCTGACAATTTCCACTACCAGTTTACCACTGTGTTTCCCGCACTGTAATGAAAGTTTCGGATTTACACAGAGTATAGTATGATAAGCGAAATGGTATTAATTGTACACTGTTTGTATATCTCCAGATACTTGGTTCCAGGACCAAGTTCTTAATGCTTTAAATGGATGCCAGGGTCTACGTTGAATTTGTGTGCTGCTCTATACCATGAAGGAGAGTTGGGGATGTTGCTCACAATCGAGTGAGAGGATAGTTGGAGGGACCTTACCAGTTTACTCTCCTGACTTCGTTTATGTTCAGGACGCAGAGAATATGTATACCTCCAGAGGGGCGGATCTAGTTAGGCAAAGCTCTGTGGAAGACTGAAGCCGGGCAATATGAATAGGTGATACAGGAATTATTTACATTGTAATTTCTTAGCAGTTGTGAAAATGAATTGTTGATTACGTTCGAAGGAACATCTTGGTTTTCACATGGAAGAACACAATTTTTAAAAAATCTCCTTAATAATGTGGTATTGGAAGGATTTGCTCTTTTATTTTATAACCTAAAAACTTAAGCAGCATACGCAAATGGACTGTGTTTTAGAGTAGTTATAGTCTTTAGAGTCAACTCTTCTTGTTGTAGAGGTAGACACCAGTTTTGTATTCCTGTGTGCTACTCATTTAAAGAGCTTCCTTTTTTGGCTTATAGTGTTGTAACACCCTGATTTGTGAACCCTTAGGAAGAGTTTTTTCCATCAACCTTTATTTTAGAATTCAGTCTTTGAATAGGCACAATTGTTATGACTTATGGGAGCTTAATAGTATGGAAGCAAAATTTTCAAGTAAGCTGTTAACAGATTGTTGACTTCACTACTGTTAGTTAATAGAGTTATACTGACATTCATAGTACCTACTTACAAGGTTTGGTATGTAATTGGTATTTGCGTGGAGCCAGTTTTAGAGTTGAAAAGATTTTTAAGGTTTAAAAAGATGACTGTAGCTGATGATCTGTTGCGAATGCTTTACTTGTTTTATGACATACAGGTTTTTCTTTTTGCTGTTATTGTTGATATGTTGATATGTTTGATACGCAGCGTGGCCTTAACTGTATTGTGTTAATAAAAATATTCCTCAAAACTGGTGGATGTGATATTCTGAAAGTTTTAAAATATTTGTATCAGATTTGCTGACTGGCTGTTTTGGGGTGCATGTTGTCTTATTTGGAGAATTGAACTTTTAAGATGAGAATTTTACAGATTGTCAGATTGCCAGCTTTTTGTTTGTTTTTAAGCCTAAGGAAGGCAGCAAATCACACTGCCACGTGTGTACCTATGCAACTATCTTGCATGTTCTACACATGTACCCCAAAACCTAAAATGCAATTAAAAAAAAAAAGAAATTACTAGGTTTAGGTGTCAAGGGGACTGCATCATCTGACTTGAAAAACCTCATTTAATTATGAAATTCTAAGTTTCTTCATGATGGCAATAATCAATTCATAGATGATCAGATTTATTTCACTTTTTCTTCCCACATTTTTTTGGGGTTGATGTAGAGAAAATTAGCATGGATATGATAGTGATGAATAAGAAGATAGACTCTTTGACCTTTGTGAGGTCCCATTTGACTCTGGGATTCTTTGCCTCTTTCCATTTTCAGCAAGGCTTTATCTTAAGATGGATGTTTAAAAGATCACAGAAAAGAAGATCTAATATGATATGGAATTTTTAAAAGCCTTTTGACTACTTGATAGGCACTTGGGGACGTAATACATGAATGAGACAGAGTCCTGACTTCAAGATGCTTATAACTCGGTGATCGACCTAAAGGAAACATGATTATGGAACAGTTTGGTGTTCCTGAGGTATTTTGATTTGCCCAGAAAAGGGAAACCTAACCCGTTAGATACAGGCTTATGATGTGCAGTGAGGAAAAGTCACTTTAAAGAAATCATTTGGGTCAGACCTTACTGAGATATCTTTTTCTTCCCTCCCTCCCTCCTTTTCTCTCTCTCTAGCTGTAAATCATTGGCAGGTTATTAGACCTTGGAAACTTGAAGTTTCTCTCGTTTTAAAAAGAGACAACATTATCAACTTGCGGATAGATATTTTGTGAGGATTAAATGACAGAATAAAACACTTAGGAAAGTGCATGAAATATAGTAATACTTAAATATTATCATTTATTATATTGCACAGCATAAACTAGGCTAGTGTTAGTGATTCTTAAATTCTACACCAACGTCGTGAACAATTGAGCTTTCAAATTGGCTTGCTGTATTTGTACTTTACATATTTTTTTTTTTTTTTTTGAGACGGAGTTTCTCTCTTGTTACCCAGGCTGGAGTGCAATGGTGTGATCTCGGCTCACCGCAACCTCCGCCTCCTGGGTTCAGGCAGTTCTCCTGCCTCAGCCTCCTGAGTAGCTGGGATTACAGGCACGCGCCACCATGCCCAGCTAATTTTTTGTATTTTTAGTAGAGAAGGGGTTTCACCATGTTGACCAGGATGGTCTCGATCTGTTGACCTCATGATCCACCCACCTCGGCCTCCCAAAGTTCTGGGATTACAAGCTTGAGCCACTGCGCCCGGCCACATCTTTATATTGACTGTATAGCCCAGTCAGTGATCTTCAAATATTTGTTAAATTTACTTCATATGAATATACAGATGATGAATGTTTGGAATATTAGAATACAGTCAAATTAACTCAATTGAATAATTGTTTAAAACCAAGTTGACTATTTCCTTAATGGTGTCCAGTGTGTTTTAAGATTTGGCAGTTCCTAAGGTCACTTAAAATGTTAGTGATTATATTGAAGATGGAGGTTGGAGAAGGGAGTCACAATTTGATTCTGCTGTAAGTTACCGATGGTATCAGTTGGGGTATAGAGTACATATTGCCGATTTGAGTCTTTCTGCATCCAAAACAGATGTTTTTGGAAAGTAACCCAAATTTAGAAGCAAGCAGAAAAGATCACATCTTCCTTTCTTGCATTTATCTACAGCATCAGAAGTAAGAATTGGAAAAGCTGGTCAATTGTGTGTATTATATGTGTTTACCTCGTTTATGTCACTTATATTTGCATCTGTTTACAATTTAGTAATTCGGCAATTCTGATATATATTTTGTATGTGTGGGAATAAAACTTAAGGATTATTGCTAATTACTTGAAAATTATTGAAGGGAAGCTGGCTATGATAATTAAGAGAGCATTTTGACATTCTGTAACTTTTAACCATTAAACATTAGTGAGTAAATAATACATTGCTATAACATATTCTGTAATCTATTAAAATCTTCCTAAAAATTGACAATAAGCCTACATGGTTTGCAAAAGATGAGACAGTTAATAATTACTATTAATATGTAAATGTACATTAAAATCAAATAACACTTAGGTCAGTGATGAAACTTTAAAGACAATTTTGTGTACCATGCACACACATCCAAAATCTGAGCACTAAAATCTGTCATATGCTTGAGTACCTCATATATATTTTTGTCTAAAATAGTCTTTAAATTCTTGAATATATGTTCTTTCCTGAATTTTATGAAATTTATGATTTTATTTATCAGAATAAGCTCTGATAGAGTTTAATCACTTACTTAAAATCTCTTGTGAAGCCGGGCACGGTGGCTCACTCCTGTAAACCCAGCACTTTGGGAGGCCGAGGCAGGCAGATCACTTTAGGTTAGGAGTCCGAGACCAGCCTGGCAAACATGGTGAAACTCCATCTCTACCAAAAATGCAAAATAGTTGGGTATGGTGGCAGGCACCTGT